AGCTTTACAAAGAATGAAAAATATGAGTAAAAGGTGGTAATATTTAAGTAGACGCGACTCCATCAAAATTATACTTGGGAGTTGGTTCTTTTTCCAAAACATAAGTAACATATTGGTTGCAAATTGGTATTTTCAGAAAAAGAAGTTGCTCCTAGCAAAGGCAATAGTAGGCATAAAACTAAATCAATGGTGCAAGGTCATGCTTAAAAGATAGGGTTAGATTATGATATGATTTTTTTTTTTTTTATCGATTGCTAAACATTTGTTAATTCAAATATTATTGGTTATGGTTGTGCAGTTTGATCTCTGAGTTAGATCAACATAATTTTAAGATTCTATTGCATCATGTAATTTGGAAGTTGAAGAATTATTATTTTATTAGAAGAACTTAAATTTTTTGGGCTTACAAATTGAGAAAGTTACTTCGTACTTTAAAACAATCACTAAGCTGGTGAAACAAGTGATTTGATTGTTTTATGAAGAATTAAAGATACATATGTTGCTGGTTTGATCATTGTGTTCACTCAAGAATCTGCAAGGTAGTACATTTGTATATCTACCTTTCTATATGATATGATGACAACTTCTAAGAGGAAGGTGGGGATTTAAAGTTCGGAATTATGTAAGTTCATATTTTAAGATAAAGGACCTTAGAAAAGCTAAAAAGATTCTTGTGAAACAGATCACACATGATGGTGATAAAAGCTTAGTCTGCTTACTAAAGACTTGCTAACATAAGTACTCCAGAGGTTTGATATCGATGAAAAGATTGAACCTATAAGCACTTATTTAGCACCACTTCTTAAAGCGAGTGCATCAATGTATCAAAGTGTAAGTGATGAAAAAAGGCAGATGGGGTGTGCCCAATGTGTAAATGTAGTGGGAGCCTTGATGTATGTGATGGTGGATATAAGATTCGATATATCAAATGCTGTTAGTACGGCTATCTAATACTAGCATATTCCCAATAAATGTCATTAGTATGAGGAGAATTTTATGATATATTCAAGGTACCGTGGATATTAGTTTGAAGGTTATGAAAATAAGACTATCGTAAATGGTCAAGTTGGATACACCAATTTTGATTTTATTGGTGTTTTTAACACCATGATCAATGAGACAGAGTATATGCTTATAACATAAGCTTTCAAAGTAGGAATTTTGTTTCTTAATTTGATCAAAGAGTTTGGAATGATTTAGAGAAGCAGAGATTTCTTCAGATGATGCAAACAATTAATTCTATTATGGTTGCAACAAGAATATTGATGTTCATTATTAATTTATTTGAGAAATAATAGAAAAATAGGATACTGCACTACAAAAGATTAGTGACATTTTATTTCCGATGATTGGAACTCAAAACAATTCTTTAGGCTTGTTGATGAAGGTGATCATGGAGATCAGGTTTGAATATTCGGTTGTTCTACGAAAAAATGATGGCAATATCATTTTTGGGGGAAATCTATCAAGCTGCATATTGTTTGAAATCGTTGCTTACTTTGCTCCTTAAAAGCTCTAAATGGAGGCTACCACAAAAGTCCTCTGTGATGGTTGCCAAAAAAATCTACAATGGAGGTTACCATAAAAGTCTACAATTGAGGCTACCCAGAAGGTTTTGATGGTGTTTATTTGTTGATGTTGTGAGGTGAACTCTTTTCTATATGAACTTCTATAATTCTCACTTAAATTATCCCACAAGTGAATTCTTAAGCTTAATGTCTCAATACCCACAACTTCTATGTTAGATAGGGGAGACAATCTAATGTGCTTGAGACTTTAGGAATAGCGACTTTCAGTGACATATTGGCCAGGTTCATGCTCAGGGAGATATCAGTATAATTAATACTGATGATCAAATAAAATTTTGGAACTATATGGTTTTTAATTCTACAAATGTTGCACAAATATAATCAGTACATGGATTCATATGTTCTCTTGTATTTACTGTATCACTTCTTTTTCTATTGCATGATTAATCACCAGAACTTATAGTTTAAATTGGCTCGTTCTATTTTGAAGTTATACTTGGATCTGAGTTTTTTGAATGTGGACATGTGCCTCAATATCTATGCAATTAGGGAGAATTTTCTATCTTGCTCTTCTTTTTAGAAATGGTGGCTTCCAAGGACATCAGCCAGTTTCATGCTTAGGAAACTAGTAGAACTGTTGTTGATGATATTATGAAATTTTGGAGCAATATGTTCTACAAATGTTGCTCAAAATTTCTCTTGACTGTGACTTCTATGCTATCCTGGATTTGTTAGATCACTTCTTTTTACATTGCACGATTTTTCTCCTGAAATTTAATCAAGATATTGCTACTTACAAGGTCATCTAATGTCTCAAAACTGGCAGCTTCAATGTTAAATTAATATCGTTCTTTTGTACGATTATTAATTTGTCATTTCTCAATTTTTTGAATGGGGAAGTATGCCTCCATATCTATGCACTTGCAATGCTGAGGATTGCCTATCATGCCTATATTTTTTTGGAATAGTTGCTTTGAAAGAATTTGCAGCCTTGCGTAGATTAAATTTCTCATATCATCTTTATTTTTGTGATGTATAATTTGCATAGAATCTAATGTAGGATGGTGAAGTTTGGACTTTCACTGTCAGAGCTTTAAAAGCACCTCTTCCAGAAAACACCATCAATGTGAATTATGATGGTTTTGCCGAAGGTATATTTTAAAATTTTTTTATCTTACAATTTTGATTGCTTTGTCTATTAGCAAGAAGCTATTATATTTCGTTTTACTTTTTTGAATTTGTTCAAGTGTGAAATAGACGTTAGAGTTGGTGATGAACTTCTCGTGGATGGTGGAATGGTCAGATTTGATGTGATTGAAAAGATTGGTCCAGATGTAAAGTGCAAATGCACCGATCCAGGATTGTTATTGCCAAGGGCCAACCTTACTTTTTGGCGAGATGGTAGCCTAGTGCGAGAGCGCAATGCCATGCTCCCTACCATTTCCTCGAAGGTGAGTGTATCACCAATATTTTTTTTGTATTGCATATGCTGTCATCATTTATAAGTTAAAATTGATGGTTTCTCTATTGATCAGACATTAAGTGAAAGCTGAAATAATTTTGGTAAAACTTCTCAGAAATAACTAGAATTACAAATGTGGGAGAATGTGTAAGAAACGTGTATAAGCTAATAATAGGGAAAATGTGGGAGAAAACAAAACTATGTTTTGGATTTCATTCTTTGTTTCTAATATCATATTCCATAAGCCTTAAGGATTTGATAATATAATTTATGAGGCTTTTGTGATGATTTTGACTTTCAAGGTGGATTATTATTTTATTTTTTTTTTACATTACCTTGTCTAGTTATTTTTCTTAAACTCACAGTGATATTATATCTCTAAGTGCAATGCTTTAACACATATTTATTATTTTTTAATCATTTTCTATATGATGTTCTGTAATCATGCATCTAAAAAAGAATGATACATGATTTATGTT